TCATCTGTTCTGCCTCTAACAAGTTTTTGATTCGTCAATTTGAATGCATAGTTGCGAATCTTACCATTTTGATCATGAGGCTCACCTGTTGTGGTAATTTTGATAAAAAGGAAATCTTCGCAACTTTATATCAGATGTTCTTCGGTTGTGCAACCTAATCCTGGACTTTGTGAACATTGTGGCGAAAATGTTTTTCAATGCGTCAAATGTCGTGCGATCAATTATGATGAGAAGGTTGGTAAAGATCTTATCTATTATTATTTATTTTTGAATTTATAAGCAAGTTTCTTGAGCGATTTATTATCTTTAATCTGATGTCAAGGACCCGTTCCTATGCCAATCATGTGGTTTTTGCAAATACGCTCGCATGGATATCACTGTTGTCTGTCGACCTCTTCCAGGGGTGCAGCCGATTACAACCGACATTGAAAGAGCATCAGTGAGTCTATGTAGGATATCTTATAAAACTGTGATTGAATTCTTGAGATATAACATAACTACAACTACTCCCAATCCCCTTTCTTTCGCTTTTTCAGGCCTTAAAGTGGATTGGAGACTTCTCTTGAATCTTAGAATTCCTTACAACAGAAGGAAATACTCTTTTTCAAAATGAAAACAATAATTTTCAGTGTGTAGAATCCATGGCACGCCTACTCTGTGAGATGGAACAAACTCGTGCTCAGCTGGCTGCTGGTCGAACACTTTGCGAATCTTTATGGCTCCAGTCGCGACCACTTCCTCCTATATGCTTCCACGTGGAAAGTCCAGATGCTGCGAACGCTCTCATCGCTGCTGTTCCACCCATCAATCATCAGCAGGTAAAACACATTCTCAAAAATTATTATAAGACAAACAGAGTTGTTCCAGCCAGCCATACATGCTCTGCTTTTGACGACAACACACTGCAAAGCATTACACGAGGAGCTGTGCATGCAAACACAACAGCTGATTGCATTCCGTGAAGAATTGCGAAGCTACGATCGAAGTATTAAAACAACACCTCTTCTTCATCAAGCCATTAATCAGGGTTTCTACAATGCCAGGTAACTGTTGTACTATCTAGAACTCATCTGTTTGATTTTATAGCTTGAGTTGCTATTACTCCTTTGGGAGTTGAGCGCCAACATATCAAAAATTCGTTTCAGTTCATGTACTCTTCCACCTTACCACTGTTTACTCGCACAAATCTTTGCATTGGTATTTTAGCTCGAACTGTTTTGGATGCCTTCGTGCAAGTATCCTTCACTCTTTAGCCATCCTGCAAAGTTCTTGTGATGATGAACACTGTCTTGAACAGTTGCTGAATTCTGATGTTGTCTTCAGCACTCTGGTAATTTTCAATATTATAATGTTATATGACAACACCTCATACAGTATAATCTCTATGTTGTGAAGCTTCAGGTAGAAATTGGTAGAAAGTACGAGCCCGTTCGGGAAGAGGTAGAAATGTTGCTATGTCGTTTATCATTGGAAAACGAAAAAGGTACCGAGAAGTAAGTTTCCAAACAATTGATTCAAACTCAATCATCCACAGATTCAACTTATCATGCCATACTAAAATGCTTCAAACATTATTTATTTATAGATTATGTGATCTTGTAATGAATGGAAAGATCAATGGCACAGTGTTGGCGCGATCGCTAAATACTTTCCCGGATTCCTTTTGGCAACAAAAGTTCCGTGGATTGTTGAAGGTGATTCTGGGTTATTTTCATGACACATGTACTAGTGGTTTTTTCTTATCAAAAAGAAACAGTATTGAATACTTTCTACATTGAGAGCTTCTTGCGTGGTTGGTCGAAATTGATAAACAGTTGATTTTATGGGTTACAGAGTGCTATAAAATTCAATGATCATGACACCACCCTTGCTGCCTTGACTATAATTGACAAGTGTCTTATTGATGCAAAACCCCTCAGGAAAAGGATTTACAGAAAACTGCAGCAAAGAAGACGTGGCATTAAGAATGATGGTTCGCAGGTGACTTTTTCACATTTACAAGGTTTGGGCTCATGAACTGCTCTTGTGATAACACGGCAATTAAAATTAGTTCGTTTGAGTTAAAGATAGAAAGCTTGTGATAAATACTTTT